ATAATGTTCTCCAGGTCCATCCGTGCTGTCACAAAGGGTAAACTTTTCTTCTTTTTTATGGTCAAGTGAAACGATAAACTTTACCTTACACTATATCTTTAAATAGTGGAAATCATGGGGAGGGAACAGGGAGGAAGCATAAAGAGATGTGACAGAAGAAATAGCCCAGTGGGAGCCATTGCAGGATTCTGAGCAGAGCAGTGATATAATCTAGCTCCTATTCCAAAAGGTAACTGTGGCTATAATATGGAAAGAATGACAGGAAGGAGGCAAGGATGGAGGCAGGAGGGCCTATAATGTGTAATAGCATGGGCAGAAATGGTGACAACTTGGACAAGGGTGGAGGAAGACGGCAAGGGAGGTTAGATTTTAGATTTGCAGTTAGCACTAATGAGATTTGCTAATAGATTGGATAACGCAATTCAAGGAGAGAGGAGGCACATTCTTTGGCTTGATCCACTGGGCAATTGAATTTTAGTCTGAAAAATGTCATTACATTTTTAAATCACAGCTAATTTTATCTTTAATTTCAAAATCTGAAGGTAATTTTGAAATAAGTTATAAAATTCTCATTGAATTACCTTTATGGTTTCCCTATTCAATAGACAGTTTTACCCTTTGGTGTCAGTCTTTCCTCTCTTGACTCTTTACTTCATCCTCTGAGATCAAGCCTCTCAAATTACATATGCTCCTGAAGGCATCCGCGAGCATTGTATCCTTTTTTGATCTTTTTTTTGTTACGTACCTAGTAAGAATTTCATATCATTTCTCTTTTTTCTTATTATATTTTGTCTTTCCGGTGAATTCCTACTCTTAGGCAGGGTTTATGAATGGTATTTTTCCATGGGCACTGCTGTGTTCGGAAAACTGGACATAGCTTACACATTTTGAAACCATTGTATTCTGGTACCTGTGATTTCTGCTATGGCATTATATACAGTTAGCAAATGAATACATATTTTCAGTGTTTCAAGTATGTTGATAGTCTTTCTATTAACTAAAACACAAATAAAGTAAATGAGAGGGCATACACTGTAATTGGCTTGTGAGGTTGGTAAGATATTCTGTGTGGGGTATCTATGGGACACTCATCTTTCTACACAGGATTCTCTGAGAATTAACTATTCATAAAATTTTTCTTGTTATAGTAGCTTATGATCTCTTTTTTCTTTGATGTTGCTGGTGAGTGCTGTCAAGTTTCTGACTACTGATTACCTACAGTTTTACCATCCTTTGCCTCCTGAGCAAGCCTAATGCTAAAATATTGTTTCTTTGGGAAATTTAGTAGTCCCTGGATTCAGTATCTGTGGGAAGAAAATTTGTCTTTGGCTATAACACCCCCGCTCCCCATAGAACTCTGGGGAAATACTTTAATTCCAGTAATAGAAGGGTGGGCTTGGCATACAAATATAAAATGCCTCTGATTGACCCAAACAAATTCTTTGCTTTCTTTGCACATGACCTCAAGTTAAATCGCATAATAAGCTAATTCTTTAAGAGGAAATCAGTTAAAGATAAAAAGAATTATACTTTGTAGGAGGTTTTTCAGGTGCTCTGTGGAGAGTGGGGGAGGATGGTGAAACATCAGCTTCACTCACTGAACAGACAGATGTCGGTTGGCAGGAATAATAGTCTACCGCAGAAGAATGTTTTCAGGCCAAGAAAATGGAAAATGCCATGAAAATATACCTTCTGGATTAAGACTTGTTATGACTGTCTTCATAATAACTTCATATACTGTGCCTGTTCTAGATCAGGCTTCCTCAACCTCAGCACTATTGACCCTTGAAGAGACTATTCTGGACACTTTAATATACTTAGCAGTCTCCCTGCCCTTTACCCACTTATGTAGGAAGAATAATACTTACTCCCTACCCCACAACATGTCCATGCCCTAATCCCTGAAACCTATGCATATTTGTAACATGGTCACGGTGAATTAAGATGGCAGATGAAATAAGTGTTGCTAATCAGCTGACCTTAACATAAGCAGATTATCCTGAATTATCCAGAGCCCAATGTAATCACAAGAGTTCTTAACTGTGGAAGAAGGAGGCAGAGTCAGAGAAGGAGATGTGAAATGGAAAGTCAGTTTTGAGTGATGCACTTGAAGATGGAGGAAAAGGAAGCTCCAGAATTCAGGCAGGCTCTAGAAGCTTGACAAGACAAAAAAACTGAGGTTTTCCTAGAACCTCCAGGAGGAACACAGCCCTCCTGACACCTTGGTTTTAGCCTAGTGGGACCCATTTTGGATCTTTGCACAGAATTTTCTGGATGACCTATCATGTTTTATTGTTTGGAACTTGATATTAAAAATTATTTAAGTAAATTATTCCCTATTGTGGGCCAACAGCAGCTTAGGGAATTTCTCCTAGAATAGACTGTTTCCTTTCTATTTGATCACACAGATCCCTGTACTTCCTCTTTCTATAACACATGCAATAATTTGTTTAATGTGTGTCCTAGCCAAATGTAACCTTATGTACATTGCTGAAACTCAAGCATCAAGCACAGTGCCTGGCACATGGTAGACATTTGCTGAAGTGAATTACACTGAATTGCATGAAACACCTTAGATGAAGCATTTTTCACTTTTCACTCACAACCCTGTGACCGCTGAGTTGTGTGCAGTAAACCCAGTGCTTCCAATCACTGTAGAACACTCAATGCAGCCACAGCCATTTCATTTGACAGAGTTTCAGGAGTAACACGCAGAACATAATCTCAGAAAGCATAAGTGAGGAGAGATAGGTTGTGGGGAGGGTTCTGAGTCTCTGGTGAAAGTTGTTCCTACCAGGAATGAGGGAAACAGAAGATTGGTTCCATGTTCCATTGGAGTGTCAGTGTGGTGTGACTCAGCTAATTCACTTTACTAAGGCTCATGGGAGAATGGAGAGGAATGAAGAGGAATCCTTCCTTATCAAAATGGTCCCTCCACGTGGCCAAACTACCCTAGCCACTGAAATAGGGTCTATACCAGAAATGGCGGTTGTCTGCATTAAAATCTCTGGGGTGATAAGATGATGGCTGCCAAAAGTCAAAGGGGTAATGAGCTCTTGATGACAGGAAATAGGCTTTTGATTACTTGCACACGGGTCATAGTAAAGTGCCTAAGTGGAGGTCAAATGGAAGATTAAACTGGAGTTGGCATGAATCTGTTCAATTCTCTTAGTAGGAGCAGGAGCGGCAACAGAGAGCTGACAGTGCTGAGACTCTGATGGACCCATGCTGGAAAATTAGTGGGATTGCAAATTAACATTTGCAATGCTTAAGCAGCACAGAGCTTTAGAAACTAGGTAATGTTAAATTAAATGTCACAAGGAGGTTGGTTAAATACAGCATGTAGTGCCCTGGAGTAGGGGTTCAGAGCTGTTCTAAAGGGCCAAATACACATAGCTACTATATTCATATAACTTTGACTTTTCATACATTCCACAAAGAATTGGTGTAATCTTTTTGTGTAAAAGAATCAAAGAGTAAGAGCCAGAGACAAATAAAATTTTGAAGTGACAGCAACATAACCTGACTGATATTATTAAGTTGATTGAGTGCAAGTAAGTCTGTAACTATATTTACTTTACTGGTTGCATTCTGAACAGCAATTTTTTTTGCTATAATCAAAATTCATTTTACTTCTACTTTTATTAAATAAAGTACTACCTCATGCTCATTTAGACATTTAAACTTGCTAGCATAGACAGAATAGACTTCTAAGTTCACAAATGAATGAATCAATGATGCCGTCATTATAAAAAGTGATTGTATAATTTGAGAGCTATTTTGAGATGTCATAAAATAATCAATTTATTAAGATACTATTTTATATTTTTGTATTTGTAGATTGTTCTGCTATATTTAAGAAATCACCTTTAAAGTTTTTATTTTATTTTTTTATTTTTTATTGTTGTTCAGTTACAGTTGTCTCACCTTTTTCTCCGTTGCTCTCCTCTGCCCTGTCCTCACCCCCCCACTCCCACAGCCAATCCATGCCCCCCCTGCATATTGTCCATGTCCATGAGTCCTCTATTCATGTTCCTTGGCTCGCATCTTCCCCTTCTTTCTCCCCTTATACCCCTCCTCCCTCCCCTCTGGTCACTATCAGTTTGTTCATTTCCAAGTCTCTGGTTCCATTTTGCTCATTTGTTTTGTTGATTAAGTTCTACCTATAGGTGAGATCATATGGTATTTGTCTTTCACTGCCTGGCTTATTTCACTTTAATATATATTTATTTTGTGTTTATATTGATATATTTATGTATTATTTTTATTTCAATTTTATATTTCTTTTCTTAGAAATTATATTATTTAGTTATATTTTTATTACTTGTGTTCCCCACAGATATGTGCATTTCCAGGAAAAGGCAGTGAAAATTGACATAATTTTATGATTTATCTTGCTGCCATCTCTTCCCTTTCTGTGCAGGAAGCCAGGAGCTCTCGTGTATTTTGTTGCCTACTTATTTGGCTTCAAGATGCTAAGCCAGGCCACTATGTGCTGTTAGTTCCCCATTAGCAATTCAGCCTTCTCCACTTAGGAGTTTGCCCTGGGAGGATGACCATACACACTTTATTACATGGGTTTCCTTACCTGTTAGATTTTGGTTGGAGCCTAGTGATGAAAGAAATAGGAGAGAGGTAGAGGTACTATCCTGCATTCTCCACACTATCATATGTATTACCCGGCAGTAGTTACATCTCTTAACAGCAACACGTCCTACTGAATGGCCGTTTGTCCACTGTCCCAACTCTCACTCTGGTATTGGTATTTGATCATTTTGCCCAACAAGCCTAGGCACACTACAGGTTCCACTGTGGCTAGACCCTGAATGCTTCAATATCCCTGTTGGTTCACTTAATCCTGCCCTCTCTAAGTAGATCCTTTATTAGATGTCTTTTTTAAAAAAATGAAGGTTCTATGTTTTCTCTTGGGAAAGTGATCAGTTGTTGGTAGGTAATAAAATATAGGATAGAATGGTAGTCATCATGACAGCAACTGGTGCTTATTGTTGCTCAAATAGTATTTTATTTTATTTCTTTGGTGTGCTAGTTAGATCAGGGTTGATTCCATCCAAATAATTGAAGTTCATTTTTCCTATGAGCTCGAAAAGTTTGGGAAATATCATTTCTGATTTTTTCCTTGGAAGTATGAAAGAAATTGTTCCCACAAATTCTTTAAAGCCTCCTTGAGTGACGTAGTCTGACTGGGAGTTGTCACTTGGATAGTGGTATTGTACAATGTGGTAGAAGGAGGGGTCGTGTTAATTTGAGTAGTAGCTGTGGTAGATGCTGTGGTAGTTGCTGCTGATGTTGTGGTAGTAAGGTCTGTTGATAAAGTGGTAGGTACTGTTGAGGAGGTGGTAACCTCTGTTGTGACAGCTGGTTCTGTGGGAATGCTGGTGGTGATGGTTGTCGTAGTTGATTCAATAGAAGTACTAATGGCTGTTGTGGAGGTGGCTTCTGCTGGAATGATGGTTTCAACTGTAGTATGTTCTGTGGAAGTAGTGGTGGTTGCTGATTCAGTGGTAGGTTCTATTGAAGGGGTAATGATTGCTGTTGTGGTGGTAGGCTCTGCAGAAGTGATGGTGGCTGTTGTTGTGGGGGTGGGTGCTATGGTGGTTGGCTCTACTGAACCAGCTGAGGTTTCTGTGGGAGTGGTGGTGGTTGCTGATGCAGTGGTAGGTTCTATTGAAGGGGTAATGATTGCTGTTGTGGTGGTAGGCTCTGCGGAAGTGATGGTGGCTGTTGTTGTGGGGGTGGGTGCTGTGGTGGTTGGTTCTACTGAACCAGCTGAGGTTTCTGTGGGAGTGGTGGTGGTTGCTGATGCAGTGGTAGGTTCTATTGAAGGGGTAATGATTGCTGTTGTGGTGGTAGGCTCTGCGGAAGTGATGGTGGCTGTTGTTGTGGGGGTGGGTGCTGTAGGAGTGGTGGTGGTCTCTGTAAGAGTGGTAGTGGTGGTGGCTGCTGTGGTGGTCGGTTCTACGGAACTAGGAAAGATTTCTGAAGGTTCTGTGGAAGGGATGGTGGGTTCTGTGGAAGTGAGAGTGCTTTCTGTTTTGCTGGGTTCCATGGAAGTGGCGGTGGTTGCTATTGAAGTGGGTGCTATGGTTGGTTCATTGGCTGGTTCTATAGATGTAGGGATTGTGGTTGTAGCTTTGGGGTTTGTTTTAGTTTCAGGTTGAGGTTTATGGTTGGGAAGTTTATAAATAGGAATAAGGAGAGGGTAATGTACATGATAGACTGGAAAACGAGGAGGCTGTCTAATAGGGATCATTGGATGGACTCGAGATGGAATGATCAATGGTCTAAAGGGAGGACGAAGAGGAGGAGGAGCATTCCATGGTGGACGAAAAGGAAGAGGACGGGCTAGTGGAAATAATCCTGGGCGATAGAGAGGAGGAAAGCCTGGTGGAACCCTTCTCAGCTGTTGGGGTAGAAAGGGTCGTAGCCGGTAGACAGGTCCATAGGGTCTCCTGGGAATTCTCTGGCCATTGCTGGACTGTGGTGAATAAAATTGAACAGAAACAAAAAATATGGTTTTAAATTTGATCACTTAAAGTTGAAACATTAGTCTATGTACTTTAAAAAGTCATAATCATATATTTCACTGAAAAAATAAATTAGAAGAAAGAATGGAATATTTCTCTCCCTTCTGGAACTCTAGCAGTCAATAAAAAGTAGAATAGTATTAAACGAAAAAAGCAAAACAAAACACAAGACAACTTTATTCTCTGACCTAAAGGTTTTGGAGAGAGCCAAGCTACCTTGATTGCTTGGTGGAAAAAGCTACTTTGGAAGTTGGTTCAAATGGAAATAAATGTTCCAGTGGAATGACTAGCATACATTTGGTCCTGTCCAAAATGTCCACAGAGACATTTGATCCACGCTGACCCATCTACTGCACCCCATGTATCATGACCAGCTAGGCTCCTGAGATGAGAGGGGTTATTATTGGCAGCCACAACACAATTATTGAACCAATAAAACATAATAGTCTTTTAAAAAATCTACTTACTAATCCTGTAAACCAAAAGTATAAATAAACATCATGGTATGTTTGGACCCAGGGACATTTCCTAAGCTTGGCTAATTTGTACAGGACTAAATTTCAAAAATCTTTTGTCATGGACCAAATAGCCTCATGGATGTTTTGTACAAGACCAGATGTTCTGCAAGGCAGTGGAATTACCCAAGAACATTCTTTCTTACTCCCCATTCCAAGAAATTAGTGAGATCCCAGGCTCTGAACCACTAATTAATTTTGTAACTGGTTATTGAGAAACTATTATATGCAACACATCTTTTTGGGGCTAAGGGAAACATATCTGAGATATGAACACTTCCTTAAATAAGCCTGAAATCTAGTGCAAGCTATAGGCCTCCCCTCTCCCAAACTACAATCCAAGGAAATACAACAAAAAGTCTGTGGGAAGGAGTATAGCGTGTTATACTGGACACTGGAGTCTTATTGTTAGAGCCAATTCTTCCACTGTAGTAAGTTAGCTGAAGTGCTTACATTTTCTAAGCCTATGTCTCCTCCTTTCTAAAATTGTTCTAGAAATAGTTTTTATCTTATATAGTGGCTGATTAAATTACATGTCTTGGCTGGTGTGGTTCAATGGATTGAGTGCTGGCTTGTGAACCAATGGGTCATCAGTTCAATTCCCAGTCAGGGCATATGCCTGGGTTGTGGGCTGGGTCCCCAGTAAGGGGCACCCAAGAGGCAACCGCACATTGATGTTTCCCTCTCTTTCTCCCTTCCTTTCCCTCTCTCTAAAAATAAATAAATAAAAAATCTCAAAAAAATTTAAAAAAATTACATATGTTCTTTGTAAAGTGCTTAGACATAGTAAATAAGGTAAAACTCTATAAATGTGAGCTATTTCATCCTCTATGATTGCCAGGGTGGCAATTGCCAGCTTTGTACATCTGACAGAAGTTCAAATAATAATTGATAAAAGGGCAAAAAAGTTATAGATGCGATGGCAATTTGGAGGGAAAGTTTATGTTTGACAAAAGGGAGAGGATTAAGGATTACCTAGTAGAAAAGATAGCATTGGAAATGAGGCTTAAATAATAGAGTGGAAATGGGGAGGGGGGAATCAAATTAAATGAATGTAAGCCTGTGAACAGTGTCAGAAAAATACTAAACCTTTTTAAGAAACAGTCCGAACACGAGTTTATTTTAACAGAAGTTTCAGGAAGGTACAAGACTCTAGTCATTCTCTTGTAACCTTCAACTTTTTGCCTGTGTGTCTTTTTACCCTCTTGATTTAGGAAACATCAAAGTTTTAGGTCAACTCTACACAAATTACCTTCTCTGTTTCTACTTCCAGGCTGGTGAGCATTGCTGGAAAATGCCATAAATCCCCAAATATTAGAAACACTAGAGATACACAGTGTCTACCCTCATCTGAAACCTCAGCAAATTCATTCTTCCCTGTTTTCCTCAAAAGACTGTGAGCATCCACACTCCTCTACCTCTTTTCCCCCTAGTGAGGTGATTTTGCCTTCTATTTTACAAAATTGAGATTATCACATGCAGGAATTCGCGTATCTGCCCACACACCTATTAAGTCTCACTTATATCCAACTGTTCCCTCTTCCTGTTTACAACTAACATCTTCACCTGTGTTCTGTATGGATCTCCTCTCCCTCCCCAGGGCTATTCCTCTCTTAATTATTATATTTCCCTTCAACTTTTTTTTTTAAATCCCTGGCTCTATGATCTCACGCTATATAATAGCAACTAACATCTCATGTTCTAAAGAAGCCCATTGATCACCTAATGTACACCTGCACTATCATCACTAGGTTATCACTTTCCATTCCTAGCCAGATATTGGGGAAGGCTAGACTAGATTTTCCGTTTCTATTTACTCATATGCTTTTTGCTTTTTATTCTGGATTTTATCCCTAACACACAACCTAATCTCTTTTACAAAGATCATCAGGACTCAAAAATGACAAGGAATTTAGCATAGAATTTGGCCTATTTCGATTATCGATGAAATTAAATGTTACTTTTTTAAACTTCTTGATAATGTTGAGTTAATCTTATGGTTAATAATGTTGAGTTAACCTTATGATTATTTTATAAATGATATATTAGGCTTTTATATGCTCCATTGCCTTGGTATGTGCCTCTGTAGCTCAGGAGTTGACAAACCAAAGCTCTGGGTCAAATGAAGCTTGCCTGATTTGGTAAATAAAATTTTATTGGGATACAGTCATACTTTTTTGTTTATAGGGGCTTCTTTTGTTCTCCATTGGCTGAGTTGATCAGTTGATAAAGAGACCATATGGCCCACAAAGTCTAAAATATTTACTACCTGGCACTATTTGGAAAAAGTTTGTTAATCCCTGGTTATTATTACAAATCTATGTTGTATTTCCAGACAGATTTAATTTTTTATACCATTATTACACCACTATCAATGGGCAGTATTAAATACATATTTATGGATGCTGTTTGGATATTGTAGAAGTTTCATTTCTTTTTTGACAAGCATCGCTGAACATGGAAGGTGTGAGTGTTTGGGAAGGGGCTATATCTTTCTAAGACTGCACTGCCTTCATGCACTATTTTTGCATATCACTCAGAGGAAAAACCCAAGCTAGTCAAAAGCTCATGAGGCTTTATGCTATCTCACCCTCTTCTATCCTTCTGGTCTCCCTCCTGATCCTGTCTTTCATTCTGCATGAGGCCTACGAACCTTGTTCCTCACACCAGGCAGGCATACCTCTCCTTCAGGAAATTGTTTCATATTTCTTGTTTTCTCTGTTTGCATGGATTGCTTTTTCACCTCCTTCAGGTCTTTAATCAAATGTCATCTTCTGTCTGGCTATCCTATCTAATATCTTATCCAAAAATGTAAACTTGCTCTATTCTCCTCCCACCCCTTCTAAAATTCAACATTCCCTCTTCTCTTTCCTGTGTTACATATAAGCTCCATGATGTTAATAAGGTTTTTGTCTATTTTGCTCACTGCCGTTTACCCAACATCTAGAATTGTTCCTGGTGGACGGCAGGTGCTCAATATATATATTTTGAGGTGAATGAGTTAGTGATAAGCAGAAATTACCCTAACTTGAATTGTCTGTTAATTTCTTCCTCGAACAAGGCAAGGAGTGTAAGTCTCTTCCATTGAAGATATTTGAGGGGAACAAATACTTAGAAGTCCTGATTTTTTCTCAGTTTGGTTTTATAGCTTTTGCTGGCTATGGCATTGCTATTTAAAATGTTAGTCACTGACCAAGAACATAAACATCAAACATCACCTGAGAGCTTGTTAAAAATGTAGACTCCTGGACTCCACGCTGGCCTATTGGATAAAAATCCGCATTTCTACAAAACCATCTAGTGATTTGTGTGCCTTTACAGTGTGTAGAATTTTAGAAACACCAGCTGACCTATGTTATTTGATAACTGTTTATAGGTTGTTCTATTCTGACTAAAGGTGTGATTCATTTAGGCTTGTTTGTTATCAATTTTTTTTTCTTATACTCTTTCACATTTTTCATTCTTACAGACTAGAAATTGCCAGACCACCTGCTCTGTTTCAAGCAGCTTACTGAACAGAATGGGCTGCTCTTAGTTTTCTTGTGTTCATGGCAAATATCTCTTGTCAAATATGGACCCTTCGACCCTGGCTGGGTGGCTTAGTTGGTTGGAGCCATCTTCCCTTGCACTAAAAGATGTGGGTTCAACTTCTGGTCAGGGCACATACGTAGGTTTTGGTTTCGATCCCCAGTTGGGGAGGCAACCAATAGATGTTTCTCTCTCACCTCAATGTTTTTCTCTCCCCCTTCCTCTCTTTCTCTCTAAAATCAATAAATATATCCTGGGGTGAGGACTAAAAAAGCATATGGATCTTTGTCTTAGAGTTTAGACTTAGCTGATTGTCCATCCCCACATCATACTTCAGATATTCTATAAAATGCATGAGTTAGGGGTAGGAGTAAGAAACCTATTCGTTAGTCATGCAGTCAACTACACAGAAGCTAATTCACTCATTTGTTTCACTATTGAGGCTTACCTCATTAGCTGCTTTGTGTATGTGTTGATGCATCCCAAGTACCTATCTGGATTTTCTACTCCAGAGAGAGGGTTGTAGGAAAGAAAACTGAGGTATTCTTTCTCGAGGTACTCATTTTTCTCTTTATTGTCTCTGAAAATTGCTCTAGTCAACAAAATTAGATATAATTTTATCTACCTTTCCTGTTTGCTTGTCCTCAGAACTTTATTTATCTTCTAATCTATTAACATTTTTGGAGTCTGAAGCAAAGTTTATTAATGTGGCCAGTGAAGTTGTATTTATCACAATGTGCTGGGGAATGCTTCCAAAAAAGTGGTTTATTGTAGCACGGTAAATTTGATAATTAATTATAGTTACTGACTTAATGCTTTTCATTTGATGTACTAATTTCAGTTGACTTGACCTTAATATCTTTTTTATATACCTCATGTAATTATAACACAATAGTGTGAGAAGTTAATTTAAAAAATGTATTTGAGTGATCTCAAACTTCAGCATGGAAAAGAATCTTTTAGAATGCATGTTTCCAGGCCCCACAGCCTGAGTTTTTCTTTAAGTTTTGGGATAGGGATTTTTTTAAATTCTGAAGTAATTAGATCACATGTTTCTGATACAGATATCCTATGGAATGAAATATTTGTTCTATTTCAACATTGTTTTATAGATGAGAAACTGAGCTCAGTGAAAATGAACCACTTGTCTAAGAATACTTATAGAGATGTCATTAAATGTACCAGAAGAATAATTCTACCCTACTTGCTTATATTATTGCATGTGTCTGATGACAAATGTTGACATTTGTTTACTGTGTAATGTAGATGGGTTTCTAAACACTTTCTTTCAGGAAAGTACTTTAGAATGAAGACCTAATCTACGAGCGCCCAATTTTGAATTCGGCACTGGTATCTTTTATGTCATCCAGCACTTAGGCCCAGCACACAGTGGATTGTTAGTAATTATTAGAAGTGAAATATATTCTGAGCACTCTCTCTCCCACTCTCGCCCTAGTACCAACATATTCTATGGTAATTGTTCTTTCTCTGAGATTTATATTATTCCATTGATGATTTTGGCTATGGAACATACCACTTCCTTTTTTGCATTATATGTTTTGGAGCCTACCAAGTGCCTTTTAAAAGTTTGAATGAAAGTATAGAGTGAATGACCTTTTCCCCCCATTTTTATTTTTAAGTATGAAAGGAAAGAGTAAACAGTAAAGAAGGACTTTACTCCTCAGTCAATTAACAGAAACATGTTAACTGTAATGAATATGTTTTTACAGATCGTAAGTGCTTTCTAATTTTTAAGTCTTTACAAATATTTTTAATAATAAAAATGATTATACAATTAATGATATGTACATTGATACATCATGTTGTCCTTCTAGAATATTTATCTCGAACTTTCTATTTTCCCATTTCCTGTAGCCTTAAAACATTAAGTAAGCTTTAATAATATTTTTCTGACAGTTTGATTGTAGTGCTTTGAAAAAGAAAAAAATATAAGAGCTATTCCTAAAGAGACAACTTTCCCAGATTCTACATATCCTCAATCCCTTCATGCCCAAAACTACTGAACAGAAAATTATATATAAAAGAAAAAGAAAAAAGGAAAAATGAACAAGTCTATAATGATCGACATCTTGGCACTATATTGTTATATAAAGAAGGAGGACATAATTAGTGTCAAACTTTGTATGAAGTTATAATTAATACAAAGTATATCAAGAATTTCTAGGATTGGGGGGAACTTACCAAGAAACATGCAAAAAGAGCCAATAGGCTGAAGTTGAAAGTTAATTTCTTCATTTTTTTAATGTTGCTCCTGAAAGCAGAAAAAGATTGCCAGTGGTTAATCGAATTAATAACATTATTCTTCATAATTTAAAATAAAAATTTAGAAATTATTTTAGTGCATATTATGTATTATGACAAAAAAAGTGCAACAGGATTTTATAGATATGCTTCAAATTTAGAAGAAAGGAAGAACATACCCTGTATAGTAATATTTCTGATATTTTATAACAAAATTCTGGGACTTGTATTTTATTAAAGGGAATTCCAGTTAATTTTAAAATGCTTTTTGAAAGTCAAAGCTTTTTTGAAACATTCTTGTAGCCTCCAGGGGTGACTAGATTGGAGAGATATAACTTATTTTATTTTATTTTTGATAATATTTGTTAAAATTAGTCAAAACTTATAGATTTCTGTAGATTCATGATCTGTATAGTGTCAATGTGACTGGACTATTGTAAAACTCAATATCTTAACACAATTATTTTTTAAAAACAAAAAATGTAATTACTCTGTTATATTTACCTGAAAGGAAAATAATTGTGCAATGTGCATCTTTTCTTTAACTTCATACTACTCAGTTTTTTTCCCAAGTGATTCCCAAAAGCAAATTATTGTGCATCAGTGACTAAACTAGGAAAAAGTTTTGTCCTTAATTTGATTATAGTTTTCAGCAGTATGTCACAAATACATGGCAACCTATGCTCTGGGAAGGCAAAGTTCAAGCACCCTCATGCTGACAGATTGCCTGGGAGTCAGTGGTGGTGCCTATCATCTGTGTCATTTTTACAAATGACATAAGAGGAAAGGTTCACAGATTCCACAGTGCTGTGCTATTGTGGCGACTTCCCTAAAAGTGCTTTCTCTAATATGCTCCCTTTGTAGGCAGTTTAAAAACACATAAAATACCCAACTCAAACAAAAACAACAAAAATGCAGATCTATTTTTAACGTGTCTTTAAAGCTCTTCCATTCATGATTAACTTTAGAGACCATTAAAATACATCAGCAGAAAAGAATCAATAAATTGTGAAGCTGGATTTAAACTGCAGCCATTCAACTCCATTGTTCTTCCTGACACACTCTTTCAGAAATGTTAAAGATTAGGTGAAATTTACCACTGACAATATACTTTCTTAATATACGTCTAAGATTTTTAAGTAGTATGGCTATTTCTATTTTTTCTTCAGCTTTATTGAGTTTGTATTGACAAATAAAATTGTAAGATTATTTAAAGGGTACAATGTGATGAGTTGATATATGTATACTTGTGAAAAGAGTCCCCTCATTGAATTAATTAACACATATCTCACCTCACATATTTATCCTTTTTTCTTTATTTTTAGGTGAGAACGTTTAAGTTCTACTCTCTTAGCAAATTTCAGTTACACAGTATTGTGTTGTCAATGAGAGTCACTGTGTTATACTTTAGATATCAGACTTTATGCATATTATAACAGGGGAAATTTGGACCCTATTATCAATCTCTCCCTATATCACCAACCACAGCACCTGGCAACCACTTTTCTACTTTCTGTTTCTATGAATTTGACTTTCCCCCGCTATGTTCTACATATAAATAATACAATGCAGTATTTTCCTTTTTCTTTCTAGCTTATTCTACTCAGCAAAATGCTCTTCGGTTTCACCCATGTTGTTGCAAATGCACTAGTTTTTTCTTGTTAGAGGCTGAATAATATTTCATTATATTTTATCACATGTGAGTGAAAATGATAAACTTGAGGATATGAGCAAAATTCAAAATCCTTACATCTATATTTCTAATACATACCTTGGCAGGAGATTCTTCTTTGAAACAACCAAAGTGTTGTTTAATTTTACTTTTGCCAGATAGTTTATATAGCCACCGATTGAAAATTCAAGATGAAAGAGAACTTGAAAATTCAAAGAGAGAGAAGTTCAACAGGAAAATCTTCCTTTATAAGTACCTTCATCTGGATTTTTATTGGAGTTAAGAAGGTTGAGTGAAAGTAATCTGGGTTGATTTTTTTTTTTTTTTTTTTTTTTTTTTTTTTACCTAAACAAAGAAATGACAGTTGCAGTTGCCAGTTTGGCAACTTCATCCATAGAACTGTGATCCAATCACTGTAACAGGCCTTAGGAAAGCATGCAGAATGGTCTAACACAGTGGTTTTCAAACTTGACTTCACGTTAAAATTACGTGGGCAGCTTTCACAATCTATGGAAAGACAGACAAAAGTATTTTTAAAACTGTCCTACTAGTATTCACAAAACAGAACTATGTTTGAGAACCAGTGTTGTGAAATAGTGTGGATTCTGGAGTTTTCCCTTGTTTAGGCATATGAATTGAAACTGATATGTATACTGTAAGAACTTATTTGACAAGATGGATTTTGAAAAATTGGAAAAGGAGAAAGTTAAAATAAATGCAGTTGACTCCGTTTTGGAAGAAAAAAAATCTCAGAGTAGGAGGGAGAGAATTAATAAATACAGTTTTTATGGTTTCTTAATCTTAATTTGATATTTCTTTTCTAGTTATAATTTTATTTAAAATTGTTAAAGGTACTATAAACAGACTTTTAAGCTACTTAAAATATGAAAAATACTTAATAAATTTTCTTGTAGCTAATGAATAGTTGGGTATTTAAAGGGTAAGAAAATACTTCAAGATACATTAAGTTCTTTAAGTATGGTATCCCCATTACCTGAGCAATATGAATGGCTACAATATACACTAGCTTAACAAAGATGGTAGGTATGAAAAATATCATAACCTATTCTTAATTTATGGCAGGTGGGTAGAGTGAATCAGATAATTTTATATTTAAAATGAATCCAAGTGTTGAGGTATTTAACCATATGCAATCAATGTATTCATTTGAGAAAAATTATTCTATGCTAGAAAATTTTATACTTTATTCTCTAATAGTTATAGTTTTTGTTTTTTTTTCTAATAGCTATAGTTTGTTTAGTCCTTATCATGTCCTAGACTATGCAGACTATGTGATACTTGCTTCATGTGGATTATATCGTTTAATCCTCATAAAAACCCTAGCGATTTGTTATTATTGCTAAATTTGTTAAGATTACTAAGTAAGAAATCAAAATCATAGGGAAGTCAACTAACTTGGTTAAGTTTGCACAAATATTTAAGATAGGGTTGACCTTAAATCTGACACATTTAAGAATTGGAATTTTTCCACTGCACTATTTTGTTCCCAAATCTTATTGTTTTCCAATTGCTTAACTAAGTAACATGCTTTTTTTTTTCCACTTTACTACAGCAACAATTTATGTGTGGATGCAACCCCTTAGTAATCTGTCATATCAATCTAGAGGGTTGTAAACATTATTTAAAAAATGACTAGAGAAAAATCAAAAAGAAAATGTCAGATTACATTACACATAACTATTTTTCAAGAAATATTTTATGGTTGTGCATATATATTGGGTTATGCAAATTATATGTCTTTGATTTGCAGTCAGAAAAGCATGAAAGCCTTTTGTTACAGGGTAGTTTCATGGTATGTGTGGGATGAAGCCAAGTAGCCTTATTGGATTTCCAACTCCCTTCTGTGCTTAGCTATATGATGTATGGACAATTACTAACCGCGTGTGCCAATATAGTCATCCAAGAATAGGATAGTATTAATTCTACATGATAGAATTGTTCTGAAGATTAAATGAAATTGCAGATAGAGAATATGAACCCTATGATTATTAAATGTTAGTCAAAACTTCAATAAGAATTTTTTCTTTACTTCATTCAATTTTTAATATATGCTGGTATGATAGTTTTCTGGTAATTAAGGTGTAATGCATGTGAAGAGACTTGACTTGGAGTGGTGAATACATATACAATATACAGATAATGTATTGTAGAATTGTATGCCTAAAACCTATATAATTTTATTAATCAATGTCCCCCAATAACCTCAATAAAAAATAAAAATAAAATATACAGACCAATGACAAACCATTCAATTAAAAGATAAATTTTAAAGGTGATTTAAAAGCTTTTGGTAGTGATAGGGGAACTGATTTGAAAATTGGCTTTAAACTACCAAGTTTTCTTTGCATTGTCATATCTTTGGCTAATGATATCATGTAGTTGACAAGTAAAAATCATGCAGAAATTATTAAGTTATTAATTTATTTATGAATTGGCCATCTGTATTTTCTCTTTTGTGAAGGGTCTATTCAGATCCTCTGCTCATTTTTTAATTGAATTTTTGATTTTTTTGGTGTTTGGTTGTCTGAGTTGTTTATAAATTTTGGATATTAGGCCCTTATGTATATCCTCCAAATTTTGATATGTCATAATGTCTTTCTCATTTGTCTTTATGTATCCTTTGATCTCTTCTTTTAGTTCTTCTTTGGCCCAGTTGTTTGGTAACATCTTGTTCGATCTCCACATATTTGTGGTTTCTACACCTTTCTTTTGCAGCTGATTTTCAATTTCAAAGCACTGTTTGCAGAATATGCTTGGTATGATTTTAACCTTTCTAAACTTGATGAGGCTATTGTTATGTCTCAAGTCTGCCACTTCAAGACCTGAATACAGAATTAATTAGTATTCCATGTTGCCTCCCAAATCTAAAGAACCTTCATAAACTTAATTAACATTATATGTTATGGAATGTTGTAGAGATTAGTCAAGTGAATTTATAGTCTGGCCATTTTACTTCAAAGCATAATATGAACATTTACTTACTGGGTGATATCAGACAAGGTATTTTAACTCATTATGCCTCAGTATCTTCATTGAAAAATGTGGACATTTATAATTTTCATGTCATGGAGTTAAGCTATTCCATCCCTCATTCATTCACTCATTCAATATTTATTTAATGCCTACTGGGCATCAGACGTGGTGTTAGTTGTTAAAGTCCTAGAATATTTAAATGGTTAGGTTTTAAGAATATTTTAGCTGTCACAGTGGTGTAGGAACAAAGAAGGCACATTATGAGAGTTGATCTTGAAAAAATTCTGAGGACATAATTAAGAGTAAAAAAATTGAGTGACTGCTTTGTTTACCCTAGGTCCTAATCAGTTACTGAACAATTACATGTCCAAACAGTGAAGATAATCTATTTCTGAGTTAACATGAACCGTTCAATAAACCACTTTCTTCTCTGACATTAACTCAGGTTATCAAAAGAGGAGTATCTCTTCTTTATTGCTTTGATGCCAACATATTTTTCAGCCAAGTGTTTTAAATCCAGGAACAATCTGCATTGTAATGGATCATTGGCTCTGAAGGATTTAGGATGAACATTAGCAAAACTGAAAGATAATTTCTGAATGACTCGTGACCGGCAAAGAATCAGAGCAGCATAAGCCAATGAAAGCATCTAAAGAACAATATAAATGAATGAAAAATCAGAAATGACTCATAGATAGAACAGAATGATGGCTGCCAGAGGGGAGTGGGGTTGGGGGACTGGCAGAAAAAGGTGACGGGATTAAGAAGAACAGATTGACAGTTACAGAACACTCACAGAGATGTAAAGCACAACATAGGAAATATAGTCAATAATATTGTAATAACTATGTATAGTGCCCAGTGGGCACTGGAAATATCAGGGGGGACACTTTGTAAAGTATATGAGTGTCTAACCACTATGCTATATATCTGAAACTAATAGAAAATAAAATTGAAAGTAAACTGTATTTAAAAATTTTTTTAATTAAAAAAGAGAGAAACAGTCACTCAATTTAATCTTTAATTAATTCATGGTGTTAAGAGCTCCTGGATGAATACTTTCTAGAAAGGTACCTAACTGAGCTAATGTCTCTGGTCACAGGAAGTTCAAGATGACAGTAGAATCACATGATTTTTAGTGCAAAGACTTAAGTGACAGATGGAAAATCTTTTTGTGGTATATGTATTAGATTTAGAAAAATGAAACTCAATCATGCAGCACCATATTCGCAGTCTGCTGCCCTGTTGTGCAATAGTAATACTTCCATTTTTGGCCCTATGAAAAGCACATGAATGTGTTTCTTCTTGATAATGTAGTAGTAGATAATTTGGCTTTGGGGTTAATAATACTTTGAATATTTCTCATGTTTTTGAATTTATAGTTTGCTTTTGAAAATTTGTGTGGAAATATTTGTTGTGTTGGTTTAGTCAGTAATGCCATTAGGCACAGAGAAACACTTTGTTGGACTGAAGAAGTCTAGCACAATGAAATGGGACTAATGCTTGGTTATTAGACTGAAGAAGAACTATAGCTCTGATTTATACAGTGTGGATGCTGCAGGAGATCCAGACCCGAAAGTTCGGTAAACTCTGGAAGTTGGCTACAAATTTCCCCTACTTTCCAAGATGCTAAAGTGAAAAGAAAAAATATAATGAGATATAAAGGATTCAAAATGCTTATAAGCCAAATCACAGTAATTATTTAATATAAGCACCCTTCCTTCATTTCAGTACCATGAGAAAATTTTTCATTTGTTTTCAAGTAGAAAGAGTATTATTTTGTAGGCAACATGAAAGTGATCTTCACAGTAAAACCTGAAGGGCTCCAGCCTATGAATGTAAATAAGTATACAGTTGCCTTTTAATCAGAATTTTGTTAGCTAGATAACTTCAATCATGTAAACAAAGAATTTCAGTTCCTCTTTCAAGATTTCTTTTGGGGCACATCTCAGGCTTTCTCTTACTATCCACAGTATATTTTATTTGTTACAATTTCATTTTATTTAAAAAAATCTGGTTTTATACAAGTTCTTGCTGTAAACTAGATCCAATACTTTTAAAAAGTAAAAATACAAATGTAACTTTTTAATTATTAATCAGGCTATATTTGTTTTTCCACTTAATATGCAAAATAACTTTAAGACTTAGAAAGACAGTAACTTTCTAGTTTTTTAAATGAAAAAAGAGCTGAGGGGTAGAGTTAGAGCTACTTTTATCACCTAAAAG